GTTGCAGCGGCCGCCGCTTACGGTCCAGACGCCAGGCCCGGCCAGAGCCCGGGGCGGCTGGAGGCACTTGGAGGCCGCCTGGGCCGGCGGAAAGGCTCCGGACCCAAGAAGGAACGCAGACGCACTGAGAGCATTAACAGCGCGTTCGCTGAGCTACGCGAGTGTATCCCCAACGTGCCGGCCGACACCAAGCTCTCCAAGATCAAGACTCTTCGCCTGGCCACCAGCTACATTGCCTACCTGATGGACGTGCTGGCCAAGGATGCACAGGCCGGGGACCCCGAGGCCTTCAAGGCTGAGCTTAAGAAGGCTGATGGAGGCCGTGAGAGCAAGCGGAAAAGGGAGTTGGTAAGTCTTGGGGCCTGTTCGTTCCAACCGAGGGTGTAAGCGTGGTGAGCACCCTTCTGCAGGCCAAGCAAACAGTGGAAGGACGCTGTGTGGTTTTGTGTGTGATTTTCAAAGGCTGCTGGGAGTTCTGAGATGGTCATGGTGTGCAGTTGCATGTACCAGGGAGGCAGATTTATCATTGAATTCATTTGGAACGTTATTGTAAGACTGAGTGAACACAGAATCGGAACTCTTTCCAAAGGCATCTTCCCACCCCTTGACGAATCTGTTGGATGCCTAACCCTGAGAAAATGCACACACTGCTTATTTCACTTCCAATTCGGAGGAGTCCTGATCCTTCTCTGGGCTTCCCTGGAAGCCCGGTTAAGAATGCAGGAGTTTTCACTTTACTATGCTTGTGTGTGAATTTATGGGTCTAAGCTCAGATACTGCTTCCCAAGGGGCTTTGTTGAAGAGGCTAATCTACCTTTAACCTTCTACAGATAGGGACCCTGAGGCCCAGAGTGGGATGGGAATGAAGGGCACCTACCAAAAAATTGGAAGTGCCGTGGAATAAAATATTTGGGTCTTTTAGTCTCAGTCCAGAGAGCGCCTTTCCACCGCTCCTGTCTCTGTTCATGGGTTCCTTCCAAGGGCGACCTTGATGACTTTTTTGTATAAAGAAGCAAGCTTCTTTTTGGCTTTGGAGGTGGCAGTCTCTGTTCAGCCTTTCTTGAGTCCCTCCAATTAGGGCGACCCTTTCTGGTGCTCTGTTGCGCTTCCTAAGGCCCCAGGTGCTTCCCGTGTGGTCATTTCCAGTCTGGAGAATTAGTTTCTCCAAGTGGATGCGGTCAGGTCGGCAGCACAGTAGCCAACTGGAGAGCCCACCGGATTATTTTTAAAATTTTTATTCTCTTCTTCCACCTGCGGGGACTGTGGTAAATTTGGGGACGCTCACAGCATGACATGGGGCAAGACAGGTATGGAGTCACTAAACCCCGTCCTGCGCCCTGGGGAGATGAAGGCCCTGGAGTTGCCGTGCTGGAAGCAGTTCCTGGGCGTTTCCTGATCCCTCACACACCGCTGGCGCCTTCAAGTAGTTTGGCTGCTCCTGCTCAACAGGAACGGGAGACGCTAGGCCAGACTGACTCCTTCTGTGGCCGGTCTGAGCTCCAAGCTCCCACCGACCCGGAGGCACGCAATGCTGTTTCTAAGCTCAGATGCTAAACGGGGTTGGAAAGCCAGTGGGACCTGAGTGTGCGGTTGGGGAAGCTGGTTCCTGAGCAGAACAGTTGATTCGACTCCTCCCATTCCAGCCCCCTGAGGTCTCCCTTAGGCGCCTTAAAACCAAACCGGTGCTCATCAGCTTCATCAGAGGCAGAGGATTCTCGTTAACAAACCCAAAGCTGCCCTGCACATCCCGGGTCCCAGGAACTTGGCATATAAAGGCAAATTTATGAGCCTGTATGCCTATTTCTCAAACAGAAATCTGTCACTCTTTCTCACTGCTCCGGCACCTTCCCAACCCCACCCCACCACTCCGCAGGGCGATTGGAGCAGAAAATTAAAATCTGTTTCTCTTGCCTCTTTTCTTCTATGTATCCGTTTGGCAGCAGCAGCATGAAGGCTTTCCTCCTGCCCTGGGCCCAGGCGAGAAGAGGATTAAAGGGCGCACTGGCTGGCCGCAGCAAGTTTGGGCCCTGGAGTTAAACCAGTGAGCGAGGACCTGGCCACATCTGGCTGTTCCCAGAGCCCCCGGGAGGAGCGGAAGGCAGGAATGAATGCCAAGCTCTGGGTTCCAGCAGCTGGTGGAGTGCATCCCGGGAACCTCTGCTGAGCGCGGGCAGGTCGCTGGCAGCAACCCCACACTTGGATCACACGTGCAATGTCATTTGGAATTTTAATACATTTAGAGAAATATATATATACACACCTCCCCTAACTGAGGGTGGCTCTTTGGGGCAAGATCCAGGAGCAAGGAACTCTGGAACCCAAGTGCTGCAAATAAGCACCCTTCCAACCCTCCTGGGGCGAATTTAGAATCCCCAACGCCATCCGCATTCCACTACCTGGCTGTTCTCTGTTTCTCTGGTCTTCCTCTCAGCTTTGACTCAAACCCCCCCCCCCACTTGCTTCTGTCATTAAAATAAGAAGAATCAATAGTTTTCCGCCAGGAAAGAACCCAAAACAGGAAGATGGACGTCTGTCATTTGTCCTTCTTCTTCAAACAGTACTGATTTTATTCTGTTTTTCTTTACTGTGGCTGTACTTCCTATTTAGTTCCAAGGGAAACACTTTCTCTCTTTTCTTTCTTTCTCCTCCCTTTCTTTTTTCCTTTCCTCGCCTTCTTTGTAAATAAAAACTTTCCCCTGTGTTGGATGTTGGAAAGTTTTTATGTGTTTAAACTACCTACCAAGCCTGTTGCTCAGGTGTTGTTCGCCTCCCCCCACCCCTTTTCTACCTCAAATCTGTATGACCATTCACAGCACCCGTCCTTTGCCAAAGCAGTATCTATGCTCTTGACTAATAAAACCTTTTTTCTGAAGTCCTCTCAAGTCTGTGTGCAGTCTCAGCTGGGATCGCCCGCCTATTCCGTGGTCTCTTGCTAGGTGGACAGCCTTGTGTTCCTGCTTTTCTTTTGATAAATATTAAATCAAGCTGCAAATCAAGCAGGGGGGGGGAGCAGAAGAAGAATTTGTTCATGGAAGGAACAACATCCCTCTTTGTAGGCAAGACATGGGCCAGGAGAAATGAAAAAAATAGACCCAGAGATGCCAGACTAGGATTTATTTCGGTGGGTTCTATGCACATTGATGTCTGTAGACAATTGTTGGGCAAGGTTATGGGGGTGGGGATGGGGCCTATCACGCAAATGAATGGTGTCCCAAGGACAGAGTAGAACAGAAGAGGGGAATTCACCAGGGGATGCATTTCTGTATGTGAAATTCTGAATGCAAAGGTAGGTGTGCAAGTGACCATGCAGTCACTTAGTACGGAGCCCCGATGGTGCAGGGTCTGGAGGGTCCTAGCACAGCCCAAACACACATGAGACTCAACAAATAGTAGCAGCTATTATTTTATATGCGGGTAAAGTAAGTTTGTGAATGCTTTTGGTCGAGCTATTTAGGCTTCTCTCCAGCAACAAAGCACGCCACAAATGTTTGTGAGAACACATGGATTTGTGCAAAGGGATGGTGTGTGTGTACACGCGCAGGCCTGCGCGTGTGTAGGAGAGTTGGTCTCTATGTTCTCACGTGTACAGCCATGGCTGGGTGTGGGTGTGGAAAAAAATGCGGATGCATTTGCCAAGGGGTGCGGATGTGTGTTGGGCTGAACTGGGAGTGCAAGCTCAGGCGTTTTCGTGTCCGTGATTAATGATGTTGTATAGACGATTCGTTGTGATTGCGCACAACTGTGTGCTATGCACTGTGCTAAACGCTTTTGTGCCTCATATCTGCTCCCACGAGCGAGTGCCGGAATGAACGCGCGCTCCGCAGGGTTTGGCCAGGTCCCCGTGCGGTGCTTGCTGCGAAGGAGGCAGGAGGATGCGCAGATCTCAGTGTTTGGACTGGCTGCAGCCAGAGTTTCAGTTCTTGGGATGCGGACCAGAAAGGAGACCGCCTGGCAGCTCTGGGACAGGTCTTCACTGGGTACCAGCCGGGCCCCAGGAGCCTGGACCTGCCATCGCGGTGAATATGGGGCCCCATTAGTTGGCTGTAAACACCGGGGCAGGGGCGGAGAGGCCACGCAGGCCTTTCTGGACGCGAAGGAGTTAATAAAAGGTGTTTTATGGACGTGAGGAAACGGTGGGGGAGGTGTGAGCCTCTCTCCACTCATGCCCCCCTACTTTTTTCTTTTTTCCCTCTCGCCACCCGCGGCCAGATCAAACAGGCCGGCGTTTTAACTAGGGCAACACCTCGCGGTAATGAGCCAGGACGCACTGCTTCCCCGGGCTCAGAACCCGGCTCAAGGCCCCTCGGGGAGGAACAGAAAGAAACACCAGGTTTTCTTTCCTTTCTTTCTTTCTTTTCTGGCTCCCGCCTTTCCCTTTCTTAAGAGCCGAGATTCCTTTTAGAAATTCTGGCATACAAGGGCCAACGGGGATGGTCCCACAGCGCAGAGAACCTTATCTAGATTCGAACCCAGGACTCCAGCCCGGTTCACAGACAAGCAGCTGACTCTGCACAGGGCCCAGCTCGCGCGCCACTATTTTTAGCACCAGGAAATATCCTAGGCACGGGAAGAATGTGCACCCGGGTCCTACTTTCTTACAGCCGGTGAAAAGAGAGGGGCTGCCGAGAGGCACCGCGGGCGGCGGCCAGGGCCAAGTCTGGCATAACCAGGCCCCTTCGGTGAACGCCGAGCGAGCGGCCGGCCCCCGAACCCTCTTCGGAAAGAGGATGGGGAGCCCTAACCGTCGCGGTCGCGTCGGTCGGATCTCAGCCCGGGTACCAGGAAGCTGAGACCAGGCGTGTCCAGGGAGGGGGTCGCGGGCTCTTCTCCCGCTTTCCCCAGCCTTACCCCAGCGCCCAGTGCCGCAGGCACGCCCAGGCCGCCCTCCGCCCGGGGAAAGCCGAGCCCGAGCCGGCAGAGTCGCTCCGGGTTTCACAAAGCGCTCCGCCCGGCTCCAGATTCGCGCCCAGTCCCGCTGTCCTTGCTGCCACCCGGCTCTGCGGTCTGCTCTCTGCTCTCGCTGTCTCCCTTCTTCCGCCCTCCCGCCTTTGAAAATCTCTCCAGACCCTGAAACTTACCTTCTTATTCCCCACCCAGTCTCGGCATGGTTTGTCAACTCCTGCAATCTGGGGCAGAAACATTATTATTACTGAATTATTATGATGGTCACTCTTTTAATCATTTCATCTTCATGATTTTTAAATTGAATATGTTATCTTTTTTAATATGAGGGAAAATGGAATGGTCATGAACTTCAAAGTAAATTCCAAGAATTTACCATAAGGAAATATTTCCTGAAATTACACAAGTTTAACTACAGGAGGTTTTTTTGTTTTTAGTTTTAGTTTTGCCAGAGGGCATGTATGCTTTCCTGGGAGAGACAGAGAGACAGAGAGAAAGTGAAAAAGCACCTCCATGGGGAATGATCGCTCCCAAATCTCTTACCCTTCATCTCTCCCTCCTTTCAGGATTTTGGGTACACAGTGTGTTTCTCAAAGCACAGGTTTGGGGACTCCAACCCGCGCTTGGCTATGTGAGGTCCAACTGCCTTTCCTACCACACCACTGGCTGGTCCAATAAGACTATTGTTTAAAGAGTAAGAACTAGGAAAGGACCTGGATATACTGATGTACTGTCATTAATACCATTTTTTAATAGACCATAGTTTAGCTTATTTTTAACACCCATCATGCCATGAATTCATAGGGAATAGGTTCCAGAAGCTCAGGCTCCTTTCCATTGGTTCTCACAAAGTGAGCTTCTCTGGGTGGAGCAGGCTGACGCTTCAGTTGAACCCAGGTCCCTTTCTCTTTGGCTTCCTTCTTTTTCTGATCGCTTTCCTTCCCACGTTTTAGGAAGCTATCTCTGCTCTTAGAATGTTTAATGTGCTCAAAACACACATTAATTCTTTTGGCAAGAATCTTGCCTTTAACTTGTTTGTTCACAACAATGCCAACAGCATGCTGGGTAACATTGTAGACTCTTCAATTTTTGCCATGGTAACATTGGTGGGGCGTTCCTTTTTGAATAGTACCCATTCCCTTGATGTCTACAATATCACCTATCTTACAGATTCACATGTATGCTGCCAAAGGAACCACTCCATGTTTTCTTTTAAAGGCCCAGAGAACGTGTACCAGGCGCCTCTCCTCGTTCCATCTTTCCCTTTGTGTTTGTCGTTTTGGTGAATTATTGGAAGATGGCGGCTCCAGCCAAAAGGAACCATTAATACCATTAATAAATCCATCAGCACAGAGGGTTACTACTCAGACATTAGAAAAAAAACAAGTAGGAATTGACGTGGAAATTGTTCATATGTATGTGTATATACATATGTGTGTATATGTATATATATATATACACATATAGTATGTGTACATATATATGTATATATACGGGACACTCACATTACTAAACACCATCCGTTGTGAACTTCTTTATGTAAAGATAAATAAATAAATATAATTCATGAAAAAACTGCAGCAGAACAGACATAAAATATTCGCACCTCTACCTTCAACTTTTGGAAGTAGGGTACTTTTTACTTGTCTTCTTTTTTTTTTGGAGAGGTTTTCGCTATAGGGTGCGTGCGCTCGCCAGACAGAGAGAGACACAGAGACAGAAAGCGAGAAATCACCCCCCCAGGGGGGATGGTCACGCCGTAATCCCTTCTCCTCCATTCTCCTCTCGGGATCTTGGGCACGCACGCACACGCGCCCGGCGTGAGTTTTAAGCCACCGGTTCTGGGACGTGAACCGCGGTCGACTACATGGGAGTCCAGCGACATAGCCATTACGCTAACTGCTGGTTCCCAACTTTTACTTGTCTTCTTGCTAAGCTATATTGTCCAAGCATTTTGTCTGTACAATGAATAAGTATTACTGTGCAATAACGCGGAGCTTCAATTTCCTTCTGATTTCTCCTGGTGCTAGGGTTCCATACGCTGTTTAGACACCTACCTGTATTGTGTGCCCAGCATGGGCTCAGCATTGTGAATATATTGATAAATATAAAGAATAAGAACCCTAATAATAGTCATCGATGAACATACAAAAGTAAGTCTTGGTCTTGAAGACTTCGTTATCCCTTCCAGGAACACAAGTGGTTCTTCTCTTACGGTTAGGTGCTATGGATGCCAGCCAGCAGGTGGCTGAAGGGTAAGGGGGCTGGGTCCCATATGGCTTATCTGCAGTTGAGTTCTTAACCTATGGCTTGAAAATCGCGTGGGACGTGTGT